AGTTTCTGTACCCAGTGAGTGATAAGTTATTCCTTTGGAAAGCTATGTTACAAGAGGAGTTGCATATTTTTAGCACGTTTTATTTTTACAGGTGGTTGCTGATTGTCTGTCCAGTAGGGAATGGCAGATAAACAGTCAGGGGAGTGCCAAGAGTGGAGGTGTAGTCCAAGTGCAGGAATTGAGCTGTGTTACCATCTTACAGGCCAAGGCTCAACAGCTTCCCTAACACCAGCAGTACAAAATTGCTGATGCCTGTGTGCTGGCACAGAGACTTCTGCTGCTCTCCTTAACTCCAGGGCTGCAAATGCCTACAAGCGCCCAGGAAAAGGATTTAAAGCAAGAACAGGAGAGACTCAGTAAATCCTTGGTTGTGACTTGGTTGAAAAGTAGTAACTTCATAGGTAAAGACTGAATTACTGGGATCATTCATATTTTGTTCATACATTTGAGCTATTTCATTAAAAATACCGCTAAAAGATATTGGTATACCTGAAGTTCTAACATAGTTCATTTTAACTAAACAAAATACAAACCCCAATTGTATACATTCAAATTCTTACTGGCAAGTTTCTTGTCTCCTGCAGTTTGTAAAGGGGCAGCAGGTAGCTGGAGGTTCTTGGAAGTTTTTTGATCAGCAGAAACCTTTCATGGGTTTTATAGGATTTGATAATCCTTCAGCCTGAGATAGAGAAGGCCTTTGGGTAGATAGTTAATTTTTCCAAGTTGGAGTACTAAAAGAGGGCTACCTGCCTTACTTTGCACTAATTAAAAATTAATGTTTTTTTAATTTTTGATTTGATAAACTTAGGTTCAGTGAGGCTTCCAGAGGCTCTTCATTGCACCTGCAGGTGAGGGAGAACTGTAGATATGTATATGCAGAAGCATCAATAACATGGGGACTGTACTTAAAAAGTTACATCTTAAGAAGCTTTGTTCACTGCATCGTCTACCATGTCTTCCCCTCTCTCCATACAATGCCTTCTCTGCCCTGCCTGTGTAACTGCAGTGCTGGGGGAGCAGCTGTCCTTACCTAGTTCCTGTTGGGACAAATTGTACCGTCCCACTCTTGGCATTCTTTTCCAGTCACATGCCTTCTGTTGCAGAGAATAGCCCTGGAAATACCTTCCACTCACTATGAGTGATGAGGAAATGGGGAATTTTAATTTTTGCATCTGCAAATCACTGTGTCAAGTGTTTGGGTTTCAGTTACATTTTATGGTTTAATATTCTTACTGACTTCTAGTACAACTTTAGTTTGTTTGGTGTGGGTGCTTGCCTTCCAAATGGAAGTGCTGGGTATTGATGCCTGTTCCTGCTGGGGACACTGGGAGTGCAAGTGCAGGCCTGGTGCCCGGGGGCTGTGTCACAGTCACTCCCCTGGTGACTCCCGGTACTGCCTCCACCCCCTCTCCCAGCCTGGCCGTGCTCCGTGTGTGGGCGCAAGCAGCGAGCACCCTGCTTGTTCTGGCCCTTAAACACGGTCCTGGCCTTGGGTAATGGCACAAAAATCAGTAAAGTATTGGTACAAAAGTTGTTCCTCCTTGGTGAGGTGTTTGAGATCCTTATTTAATATCGCACACATTTTGATCGTTAATTTATTGCTGTTTGTAAATATCCTTGTGCTCACAGTTGATGTTTTGAGCTCTAATTTATTGAATTAGTCTACTGGTACGTGTATAGTTATATAAATATACTTATTTAGTAAATCACAGGCACAAGAAAAATATTTTAAGAAATGTAGCATTAAAATACAGAGAAATACTCTTTATTATATTCAGATTGAGAAGGGCACAGGAAGATTAATGGCTATGTTTCCTTCTTTCCTTCACTTAAAACAACTCTGCATTGAACATGAACAAGGTTTATTAAATAGAAATAGAGCTGGTGCAACATTAGCATAGTGAAAATATTTTGGTGGTGTTCTGCTTTCTTTTGGAATGCTTTTGCATCCCTCAGTGCAGGCAAGGAGCTGATTGCTTCCGGGTGCTGGTAACACTGGGGGTGATGGTCTAGGAGACACAGGACCCGGTGATGGGAGTCTTTAAGGTTAATTTGCAAAGGTGGCAATGGCATTTGCCTTTTCACACATGACCAGGAAGGTTGCAGGGGAGGCCAGATGCCCACAGGATGTGGCTGTATGTGATTTTCAGTAATTTTCTTCGTCTCGTCCTTCTTGCACATCAGGTAGACAGTAGTTACGTACAAATGGTGCAAAAACTTGCATTTATTTTTTTTTTAGGAAGTACAATGAACCTACTTGTTGTGTAAATACAAGTCTTTAACTGTTTACCTGTTTGTTAGTATTGCCTTTATATTAGTATTGAAATTTACCCCACACCAGCAGGATCGTGGGCTGTTGCCATCCTGTGCCTCTCTCCTTAGCAGATGATTTAGAAGGGTTAAAGTGTTTCAAAATGCTCACTGGTGAAAAGCTTACATTTCTTCTAAGAGTGTGGTACTATTTTTATCACCGAGTTCTCTTTGCTGCACATTTGTTCAAATGTCACTGTCTCTGAAGTGTCTGTGGGTATGAAGATGCTTGCAGGACTTCAGGCAGATTTTTTTTTTCTCTTTTATGACTAATATGAGGAAGAGAAAATTCCTCGTTCTTACAGAAAGTGTCAACAAGAATAATTGTTTAAAAAAATAGTATCTTACAAAAGAAAGATTAGAAAATTATTAGGAGCTTAATGAAACTGAATAAACTGAATAAATAGGATGAAAATAGGGGTGAAGATTTTTTTCTTCCACATCTTAATCTAAGGCTGCTGTTGTGTTAAGGCATAACTTTAGGTAGAGTATATGTTAAAGCAGGTAATTCATTCAGCATATTGGCTTGCCACACATGGTGGGGCAGGACTTACCCCTTATCCCAGGAAGATACAACATTTTGTTGTGCAACATTTGGCCTGAAAAGGGGCATTTGCTGTTGTGGGGCTTCCCTGTGGAAGGAGCACTGGACACGGGACTTGTGGGTGCGCAGCATTGTTGTGGTGGGGCTGTAGGGTGGCCTTGGTCCCACAGCACAGCAGAGCCTTGCTCTGGAGCATCAGCCCTCTCCTCTTCAGGGGATTCCCTGCCCTGCCTTTCCTGCTCCTCCATGCCACAGTCCAAGGCACATCTTGCTCTTTAAAGGTTGCACAAGCAGAGCACAAACCCCAGCTTAAGATTTTAGCAATGGATTGCACTTACTCAACATGAAAAATTTTAACTGAAGTGTGGGGGGTTTGCTAGGGGGGGTTTTTAGCACAGATGCACCGAAAGCTTCAAGTGAATGCTTCTTTAGTGTATCTATAGCTATATTATACATGTGAAATTTGTCAGTGATACTTAAAAAGGTGGTGGCTCTCCTTTTGAGTAGATGTTGTTTTAGCTTAACAGCCTGCTTTCAAAGGACAGTAGTGGCTGTTAGGATGATGATAACTGAACACCTAAAATACAAATTGTTTTTCTGAAACCAGAATCTCTGTTGTCTGACTACACATAGCTGGGATGACTGTTGAACAGAGTAGTTCATCGTGAATTTAAATGACTATGCAACACGCCTTCAAGAGCTTGACCTGGTGCATTACTTTCCAGCTACCCAGTGCATGGATGACCACAGTCAGTAACCATTAAAATGCAAATATCCACTCCAATTGCACACAGTATAGACCTATTTATGAAGAGTTTCACATGTTGCGTTTATCTTTCAGTTTTCAGTTTTTCCTTTTCTGATGAAAATTGAATACTGTGTTCCATTTAAAAGCTTTAAATAAAGATTTGTTTATATACTCCATGGTGCTCCTTTTTTCATGTCAGTTACTTGATTGTTAGGAGTTCTGGTACTTTGTCTTCACACAGATTCTTATGCAGGCTCTTCCTGCCCCCACTCAGCTGCTGGACTGCTGAATTCTATCAGATTTCTTTGGTTTGGGAAATTTTAACTCAAGGAATCTCGTTCTTCCTGCTACAAGTGGCAGGATCAGTGATGGGATTTAGTGGATAATTACTTCTCTGTGTGGTAAACAACCCACAGCAGATCAGAGGATGAGAAAAGGTAGAAAATGCAAATGGGTATGAGAAAGACATTCAAAAACCAGTCTCGCACACACAGCTGTCATTGCTATCAGCATTGCTGTTTCAAGTTCTGAAGTGGATTCACACTGAATGTGGCCGTCTGGCAGACAAGCGGCTGATGCCCAAGCTCCACAGTCCAGCAGGTAGGGCTTGGTGTGACAGGCAGCAGTGCCTCAGGAAAGATTTTAAAAGGCATTAAAGGATTAACTGCATTCCTGCATTTTTTATTTACTGTATACAGGAAAAGATTGATGTTTCCAAAGATAATCTTTGCTGGTTTACTTTTGAAATTGCTTAAGAAAATTACTGGCAGATAAAGCTTTAAAATAAACACAGGAGACAGTACTAACTGGCTTTTCTTGATAAATTTTCTGTTTATTGGGCAGCTTCAAAGGGCCCTGAAAATGATTTGCAACTGGCCAGGCAAAAGGAATCTGCTAATCCTGTCTTGCAGTACAATGCAGCCAGGGGAGCACTGAAACCACCCTTTGTAACTGGAGCTGGCTTGTGCCTTGCTGAGTGTGGCTGCCAGCTCCTGGCATGGGTGTTAAAACAGCAGTGGAGTAGCAGGGCTGTGAAGCTGTTGAAACAGTATAAAGCCATTGCTAAAACTGTTCAAAGAATTCTGAATTGTACGTGGTTCTGTGCCACAACATACTCAGTTAAAAATGGAGAAGGTATAAAGCTGTCAGTGACTCTTTCCACATTGTTTTCAGCAGCTCTGCTGTAGGAGAACACTGTTTTCAGAGCCATAAATTCCTCCCTTTTCCCTGTTGGTGCAGATTATCATCCAGCTTCCCCAGCATGGCCCTTTGGCAGATACTCACATTTAATTTTCATCTTCTTGTCTTAAAACATGTCTGTGTTACTGGTCTTTACCTCATTTGAGCCCTGAGCAGTCCCATCTGTCCAGGTAAGAAAGAGCATATAAAAAAATGCCATTCTTCATTTATAGCAGTGGCTTTATTATGAGAAATCAGTATTGAGCTGATGACTTACAGTTGTGTGGTACCTGAGCTGTTGGCTCAGTGAGGAACCTGAGCTTGCATGAAACACTGCAGTACAATCCTCAATGTTTTTGAATTTGGGAAAAGTCTTTAAAATGTATTTGTACTTTCTGCATCAAAATTCTGTGGTTATCGCCACAGGCTGTACAAAATTGTGTCAGAGTAAAATACATAGAAAAATATGAGTCTGTTACAATTAAAAATACATCTGCTGTAACTAAAGTAAAACATTCAATTGTCAAGCCAGTATTTTACAAAATACAGTAAACATGATTGTGAATCCGAGAATTTGGTTTGTAAAAACATACATTCTTTTGCATATACAATTCCTTCTCCAAAAAGCCATATTTGTGCAGGAAGATTTTGCCTTTAGCCTTTGTCATTCCTGACTTTATTTGAAAATTACCAGCATAACTGTCATTAAAACCAAGATGTGTACAGTTGGTTTTACTGCAGATGAAGCCCGTGTGAACTCTTGGTAGAGGGGAGTTTTGGGGCATGAAGTAACTCTTGATCTGATCTGATCTGAGACCTCTGGGAAGGAGAAGTCCTGCTTCAAAGCACTGAAGTTTCCAGTGTTGTCAGGTATTTCCACTGTCTTCAGCATCGATCTAAATCCTGGTACAGTAGCCTAAGAACAAACACAAAAGCGTTCTTCCTTGGTTTGAAACACTGAGTTCAACTGTGAAACAGTAACTGTTTACACTTTAAATGTACAGGGGAAATGTTCTAAAGATACATTTGAGAACATGGAATGGGAAAAGAGTAAAGTTTTCATGTTATAGCAAAAAGACTGGCTGTACAAGAGTCGGAATCCTGCAGCGATGCTTAAGCACAAGCCCTTGGCAGCAGGCAGAGCCTGTCCATCATGGGTGTTCTTTGGACTTCCACAAGAAACTATTTTGACACAAGGCAATGACAGTCACGGATGGTGGTGCCAGCCCGCTGCTGCCCGGATCCCAGGCTCCACCCTCTCACCCTGCAAGAGCTCTGTGGTTTGTTTCAAACACCTCAAGCTCCTGTTGTGCTGTGCTCCAGACGCTCATCCCAGCTGGCTCCACCATCAAGGTCCAAGGAGTGCTTATCTCTGGACATTGAGGACTGTATCAAAAAATATCCTTTCTGCTGACTAATATTTAAATATACAGGCTTTTTTTTAAAGTCTGCTAAAGAGTCTTTACACCTCCTAGCAGTTCAGCTCTAAGGCTGCAGTCTCACTGTGCTCAGGGACTCAGTGCAATTAGATACAATTCTTCAGTAAGGCTGCATACTCACATTGATCACATAGGTCCCAGGCAAAAGGAGAAGAAAGTACTCCCCTTGTTCATTTGTTCTGTAGGGGCAGACATGTGGCCTTCCTTTGGCTTCCACGATGGCATTGGGAATAGGATTCCCATTCTTATCAGTAACTTGGCCTTTGACACCTTTGAAAAAAGGGAGAGGAGGGAAAGATCGTGAACTGCAACTGGTGAGCCTCCTTCTCCGAGAAAGACAGATTGTTCTGTTGCTGGATGCACTCAAAGGCTATTTCACCACGTTTCAGCACATCTAATAATATCACTAGTCACTTTGGCCTTGCTCAAGGGAATTAAACCAGAAAATCCTTGGCTGTTGTTGTTAATAGCTTACTCTCATGTTAAGTTAGCAGTATTGTAATCTCCTCTTCTAAATCTCATTTGCTGAAGGCATCATGCACACTTACTCTATGTCCTTTACTGAAGGGCTTCAATCTTCAGTACAGGTTTGGCAGTTTTTGCACCCACCCACCCACC